AGAATGAAAGGCAAGTCTAAATTGGAAGAGGTAAGAGTAATGCGAGGGAGAAACACATGATTTCCAATATGTGTGCCGGTAATGACCTTAGCCTCAATAACATGCTGCTGAAATTTATGACAGATTAGTCAAGTTTCATTGCAGAGACCTTCAACAGCATTTAAGTTGCGCATTAACATAATAGGAGTACCAACTTTGAAAAAGAGCTTGTGAGCAGGCAGATTTCCCATATTCACAGAATTTAGAAATTCAATTGGATAAAGATGAACCTGATTGTTATCAGCTTTTTCACAAAGTGAATCTGCACTAAGGTATGTTATTGCCTCTCCTGGGAATGTGTGCATAATTTTATTATTGATAATATCCATATCATTATTTCTAGGTGCTAGAATTCCTTGGTTTACCAGATAGTCAAAATTATTACTGTATATAGAGCAGCAAGGTCAGTGTATACAAAGTTAATTAGGTCTTGAATATTCTGAGATGGTAAAACAATATCCATAGGTAGCTTGATTATGTTTTCTCCTTTATTAACCATCAGAATACATCCCTCTCCAAGCTGCAATAGCCAATTAGCAAAGTCTTGTTGAGCAGTAGCATCTGGAGCTTTCGCATTTTGAAGTAGGCGTATATTTGTCTTTAAAAACATTACCCTTATATGTCTCCAAAGATAGGACTGTTGGAAACAGGCATCTACAATGCTTTTACATCTAGCCTTTGATATAACTGGTAGTATCTGATGAAAATCTCCTCAAAATACAAAGACCTTTCCTCTAAAGGGTTTATATTCTAAAGATGCATCGATTGTTTTCATCAGAACTCGAAGTGTTTGATCAATGGCTTCGAAGGCATACCGGTACATCATTGAGGCTTCATCCCAGATAATAAGTCAAGCTTTCTTAAGGCGAACAGCAATATTCATTTGATGAGAAATTAAGCAAGTAGAGTTTTTGTTCAAATTAATAGAAATTTTAAACCGGAAGTGTGCTGTATGACCACCTATAAGCAAAAGAGCAGCGATTCCAGAAGAGGCAACAGCAAGGGCAATATGATTATCACCACGAATTTTAGCTAGCAGACATTATATAAAAAAGTTTTGTCAGTTTCCCCAGGTCCGTCCACAAAGAAAAAAGCAGAAATGTTTTTTTCTATAGCCTGTATAACTGCGTTAAATACAGCAAGTTGATCAGAGTTTAGTTGTGATTTGTTACTATTAGCTTGCCGAGCAAATGTAAGCATATCATATTGCAACTCTTCTTGAATAAGGTAGTTATCACAAAATGCTATTGGATTTATAGTTGGAGTGGGCATATGTGGAAAATTTGTAAGATTCTTGCCATTCTGACAAAGAATTGATTGTAGATGATATAATGCCTTATTCTGTAAGTCTTCGTTGCTTAATTCCAGAGTGTAATTATTAATATCATGACAGGCTTGTATAAGAATATCATCTGTGAGTGCAATATTATAGCTTTCCCAAAGTTTCTCTGGATAGGTTGGCTCACAAAATAAAAGGATCGTTGCAAATAACTGACGCAGTTGTGTCCCTGATTGAATGATACTTGCCTCCCGTAGGCAGTTATCCCACTCTTTATCATTCTGGAGCAAACCCAAGGCATCGCAGGTTTCTTTAAAAGATTTATATATAATGCCATTTACTGTTCTTAAATACTGAAATGAAGTTGCACCTGGTATAATATCGAGTAGCATTCTGAGATAATAACGCTCTCCGGCTCTAGGATGCACAAAGTATATGCGTCCAATTGTATTACCACGTTTTCTAGGTGTCCATAGCCTCTTCTTCTTGTTCCATACCCACTTTGTTGGAAAGTTCCCATAGGTTAGCTCTCTAGCATCCAGATGTGTTGCATTCGCTGTGAACCATTCAGTTAGCATTGTTTTACGAATATTGTCCTGTTGCAATACCGATTGAAGAGGTTGATCGTCTGAAAACGTAACTATCTGCTGATCTGGAAGGTGTATTTGGAGTCGCTGAATGTCCGGTTTCTCATTATGCAGGCGATAATGAAAGATCCTCCAAGAAGCTTCTGATGCTGACACATATCGGGCATTAAGATAGCGATGGATCTCATCTGTTACATCCATATTGTCTCTAGAGATTAGCTCAATTGTGACACAATCATGCCCTTTATATACATATTTAAAGAGGTACTTAACTGCAGAGATCGAAGAGCAAATCTCCACATTAATGTGCGCATTAAATTTAGTAGCAAGGTATAGATTATGAGGAACCACCCATCGATTATCCATTACAATGCCCTTAAT